AATTGCCAAATGAGCCAACCTTTCAACCTCGGAGGCGAATTCCTGTAGAGTCTCGTTGGATTTCTGGCAGCGATTCTCCAGCTCCATCTGGTAAATCTGTCTCCTGTGCTCGCTACCATAACGTCTTTCCACTGCACCCATTAACGCATCGTAACTGTTCCTTGTTCAATCAGGAATAGTCTGCAAGATTTCCGCTGCAGGTCCTTTTAATGCAACGAACAGTGCAGCGGATTTATCCTCCATGCTCCAGTGATTTGCTGTAGCTGTCTTCTCAAACTGGAGCTTAAAGACTTGGAAAGGAATCGTGCCGTCAAAGGATGGAGTCTTTACCTTGGGCGCGCTGGTCGAAGAAGGTGGGCGATTCAACTGCATATCTCGGAGGCGACCTTCCAACTCTTCTACCTTAGCCTCGACTTTATCCTGTCTATCCTTGATTTGTTCGTTATCTCTAGCCAAATTCTCCTGCAGTTGTGTAATCTTTGCATCTTGGACTTCCAGCAACTGTGATACGTGTGTCTTCTGTGCCTGTAGCTGCGACGAAATATCTGACATCTGTGTTTGCATCTGAGATGACATCTGTAACATGGCAGCCAATAACGTGTTCATGTCCATAGCTGTTGATGAACTTGGAGACTTTTGCTGTTCTTCAACCTTCCCGGATGTCTGCTGCACATCCTTCGACGAACAGGCAGCCTCATCCTTCTGTTCGTCCTTTGCGGATGCATCGTCGGATTTACCCTGGAAGTCGTATTTGTCCACGTCGATGCCTTCAGCTTCCATAGCCTCCCGCAAACGGGATAATAATTCCACTTTTCTTCCGGAGGTGGCCAAATTACGCTTTTCCAACTCCTGTTTCAGTTCCTCAATCTTTAAGTCCTGAATTTTCGCCATTTTCAGTAGTTTATCCTTCGGGATTTATTTAACAATCCCACTTCTGACACCAATTGTTACGATTATCCTTGAACCCTCGTCCGGATTTCCCAAATACTCCGGTTCGTATCGCTGGATTGTTAAATAAAGGCTAACGATGACCAAATGGTAGTACAATTAACTTTATTGTACCACAAACAATTTTACAATACTTGCTAATACAGTAAAAACACTACAATACTTGTTAAAGCAATTACAACGCTTTACTACTTGTTAACACAATTAAACTTATAGCTTGCTTATTCGCAACTCGCTTCTCTGCTCAGTTTACTTGTAGCTTGCTGACTTGTAACTCGTAACTAACTAACGTCGCGGTGGCGGCGCCCTTATATACCTGAGCTGGCACTTATGGCAACTCTAGAACATTCTGAAGTTTATCGCTCATTCTCTTTCTCTCGCTGTTCGCAGTGTTCATCCAACTTGACGTTTCTCTTTGTGGAACATTCTACGTCATTCTTCGAACATTCTGCCTATTTCTCGTTGTTCGCTTTGTGTTGCCACAGTATTCGCCACAATATATATTAGCTAATAATTTACTATTTAAATATATTGACTACCTTTATTTATAAAATGTGTGTACACTATCATTGGTTAATTAGTTTTCGCTTTCAGAATCTTCGCTGGCCTCAAACTATTCCTTTGTCACATCTTTGACAACGGATTTAGAGGGTAACAGCAGCTTTATTGTGTCTGGGGAAAACGATTTGATATTTTTTCTTTTTTTGGTCATGAACCGAAATACTGCTTAAAAACGAGTCCGAGCTCATCAACAGCCGGTTACATATGTCACGGTTACATACTTCACGAGAAACTTCCGGGAATAATTTTCTCGGTAGTGTTTGTTGTGGGCCTCTTGAGCCTCCCCGATAATTGTCCTATTGTTAATAATGAATTAGTATCGTGTGCATTGTGGGTGTCATAGGATGCCATGCCGTCGTCGATTCGCCACTTCTCGCTCGCTATGTTTGAGTTCCGGTCGCTTAACGAAAAATTTTGCATATGAAAGCAACAACAAAGTTAGCTATCACGGATAGACGATAGCAAGTTTGGTTGTACCTCATTGAGTTCGTTCGTTTCGCCACTTGCTAACTGATGGCGAATCGATGACGGCTAATAATCAATAGTAGCGCATTTCCTCTTACTATGCATATGCCTAAATGTATGCAACCATTTGGCAAGCGAACACAGGGTGCTTCTAATGAAAATAAAAATTTTATGCTGAAATACACATGCTAAGCCCTTCGAAATTTTGTGCTGGGATATGCGTTACAGCTTCGAAAATTTTACCCCTACCGAAACCAAAGATGTATACACATCAAAAATCAAACCGATTTAATAGAAGTGAGTGCAACTGGTAATAATATATGTATGTACTTGGTGCTAGCAAATGTTTTGGTGCATGGCATTAAAAAAAGTGAAACATGGTTTTGTGTTCGTTTTGCGTTATGAGCTGGAGCAGGTTCCTTTTGAAATCATCGCAGAAGCTGGTGGTGGTCACGTTGAATCCTCGGAACGAGTTCGGACGCATGTCGTAACGACTGAGCTCACACCCTATCGTCTTGTATATGGAAGATTCTTCCAAATTGAAAATTTCCTCGACCGCAAACAAAGTTCTCTCTGACCGTTTATCGCGTGCTGGCGAACCAAACTTTTCGGATACGATTTAGTTATTTTGCACAATGATTTTGGGTTGTGGTGTCCAAGCGCATGACCCGAATCTAAAAAATTAACATACACGTATTTAAAGAATTAAACTTTCAAAGATAGAAAATTTCTAAGCACTAGTTTATTGATAAATTCGGTCTGAAGTATGCACTTTTTTGTAAATTTCGATGTGGGTTCTGCGCAAAAAAAACTGTGGATGTCGTAGCCGGCGTTATATGCACACAAAATTTTGTATGTATGTATATCGTTGACAACACAGAAAGGAGAATTGTATTTAGTAAGAGTTATAATACCAAAGCGCGGCCGATGGATGGCATAACCCGAGTTTACATTTTCTATGTCGAAATGCTATTTTTAGCCAATTTTCAAATGGCCCCGGCGGAGGGTGGAGTGGTCAGAAAGAGGGGAAGGATGACTTCTCTAATTTTGGACTGTGCTCATTGTACAAATAACTAAAAATTTCCTAAGTTTTCGATTATGACTTTTGTTTCTGTTTCAAAGCTTCCGCAAGTAAGTGCCCAAAGTAACCCTTATATGCGCAGAAACCCAAGTCACGTGGCTGTCCTTGCTGACATACATTTCCCGGGATATGATTTTCTGTTCGAGCTGCGGATTTCAAGTTACAATACATAAAATCTTGGTTGATTTTCAAGGGACAAAATCTAAATATTTCACCTATTTCGTAGCTGCAGGCCAATTGCGATAACACAATACCTGAGAAAACCGTATTCCATGAGGGCAACCAACTTACATATGAATCTTTAATCACGGGAACTTTGCATAAAATTCACTTTTCAAATAGCAATTAACTAAGAGTGGGTAAGGTTCACTAATTACTGAGAATAGGTGCCTTCATGTAATGTACCGAAAATATTTACTAGTTCAAAGTATATATATTATATATAAACTTATAATTTTTTTATTGTGCGACAGGTTTTTAGTGAAATAATAAATGGATACAAAAACAAAAAATTTTTCGCGTGACGAAATAAAATTGTTGCTGGACATAATTGCAAAACATAACGCCTTTTTGAGTTGGAAATGAGCATCCTTTCGCAAACGCTGATGTAAGGGTTCTTATTTTTAATTCATGGTTTCTTTCGTTTATTTAATGTTTATTATTTTTTATAAGTCTAGCTGGTTATACAACAAACACCATATAAATTCACATTTAAAACTACTTATGTACAAAAACTATTCTGACTAAAAACTTTGAAATTTTGGTGAAACTTTGCAGACCTTAAATAATTTTTGTACACAAGTAGTTTTAAATGTGAATTTATATGGTGTTTGTTGTATAACCAGCTAAACTTTTATAAAAAATAAACACTAAATAAATACAAATAGTCAAAACTGGTCATAATATCCCATTCATATTATTTTGTGCACAAATGTATATGTACATACAGTGATTACATTGACTTATGTTTTGGATATTCGAAATGTTTTTCATGGTAATTTTTGTATTAAAATATAGGTCATTGTACAACATCTATATTCGAAATGTTTTTCATGTAATTTTTTATTAAAATAGGTAATTTGGAGAATATCGAATATCGAAAACAAAAGTCAATGCAAAATACTTATTAAGTCACTGTATATCGACAACGCAATCATTATCGTAATGCAGGTATATTGGATTTAGACTTTTGATATTGGCTACCACCGGGCCCATAAAGGGCTCGCTTTTCGCTAGCTGTTAGTTAGCGAGGTTAGCTTTTAAATCAAAATATTTGTTTATGAATTCTTTGAGTTTTTTTTTTTGTGGCCAAATCCATTTTCTATTTTAGTCCTTTTGTTCTTGTGGATGATTAGTTCAGTGTTTTAACGTTTATGATGAATCGATGTTATTGCCTAGTATGTTCTATGTCAAGATATGAAATTTGTTTAATGTGAACACATGTAATTTATGTGCAACCCTGTTTTCATCTCGCTTTGCTTCGCTGTCCGCTTGCTCCGTTATATTTTGAAGTATAAAACCGTATCTTTTCGCCAAACGGAACCATTTTGCTGAAATTATATTGGACCACGCGTTGCAAGCGGGAGCGAAAACTGGGGTAAGTGTCGAAATATGTATTTTTTCCCTTTACTATTTGTACTTCTTTTAGAAATAAACGGCTAAAAGGCAAGTTCTACTCCAGCTCCTGCATTATTGCTGTGTGTACAAATTTTATTTCCCACTAAAATTGGAACGCCCGCCGATTCATTTCTTTGCAATTTATTAAGAAATGCTACGTTCGCCGGTACGTCGTAGCCCTCGATTACAGCCAGAAAATTCAACGCCAGCCATCCAAACTACAACAAAGATTACAGAACCAAGTGCCAAACCTGTGCCCGCACCAAATACCATATTTGCAGAGAAACCAAAGAGCGCTCAGGTAACAAGTTGAGCACCTTCCAAGGCAATGCAACTTAGCGCTCCAACGCGGACCACTTGTGTTGCCACCGTCGCCACCACTGCCACCGTCGCCGCCACTGCCACCGTCGCTGCCTCCACCGCCGTTGAAACAACCGTTACCACCGCCATGTCAGCACCAACTACTACCATTAATAATATAGTCAGCCCTGCCCATCAGGTAAGCGAAATTTATACAAAAAATAATAGTTCCTTTGCTAAAACTGATCCGGGGAAGGTCGTGTGTGCCAGCACCACCCCAATCAGTGTCGCACCTGCCAACGTCGCCCCAATCAGCACCGCCTATGCCAGCGCCCAAATCCCCAATGCCTCTGTCAGCGCCGACGTCACCAACGCCTCTGCCAACGTTGGTATCGCCAACGCCACCTCGGTTAACTTTGCCGCGCCAACCACCATGTCNCCAGCACCACCCCAATCAGTGTCGCACCTGCCAACGTCGCCCCAATCAGCACCGCCTATGCCAGCGCCAAAATCCCCAATGCCTATGTCAGCGCCGACGTCACCAACGCCTCTGCCAACGTTGGTATCGCCAACGCCACCTCGGTTAATTTTGCCGCGCCAACCACCATGTCGTCAGGGGCTTCTGCCAGCGATATATGTAATATGAACTTACTTTTGTCCATGCAACAGCAAATTTCTAGGTTAGAAGTTCAATTACAAGATGCACAAACTAAAATTGCAGAAGGCGAGCGCCAACGTTTAAATACAGTTTTACCGCAGTTGACGTTGCCAACTGCAGCACCGCCACAGCCAACGTTTACAAATACAAGTGCAAATAATCGCTGCCAAAGTGTACCTCAAAATTGTGCCGTTATGTTTACCGGGACATCAGGGGCTCCGTCAGCTACGGCCGTGCCGTTTAGCATTAATTCTGTAATACATAGTGGTGCTATGACATGTAACGGGCCATTCAATGGGCCGCCAAACACTACTGTTACGAATTCGTCGTACAATCGTGCGATCGTACCAACTATATTCCAGTCACAACCTATCGTTAATCCACCCATTACTTCGCATGTTAGACAGCCGGTTCCGTGGGNGCTACCGTATCTGAACGATGGAAAACGGTAAAACGTCTGCGTCTGTGTTTCAGTTGTCTTCAACCTGGACATGCAACTCGTAATTGCCGCCGCCGTAAAGTCTGCTCAGTTGAAGGGTGCCCTCGGTATCACAATCATTTGCTGCATGATGGTGAGGTAGGGGCTCTGGTCCCGTCTACTGCTGCCGCCGGGACACGATCTGCCAACAGTTCCGTTCTCAACTGCTCCGCTCACACTCATGGAAATTTGTTGTTTCGGATAGTCCCTGTGACACTGTACGGCCCAAATAAACGCATTGACACGTATGCGCTCTTGGATGAGGGTTCATCGATCACGATGATGGACGATTCACTTGTGCAGGGACTAGGGTTAAAGGCTAAACAAAGCCGGGTGGAGATCCAGTGGTTCGGAGGTAAAGCAGTTAGTGAAATGGTGGCTATCGTTAATCTTTGCGTCAGCGGTCTGGGTATGAAGAAGCGCCATTTACTTCGTAACGTACACGGTGTCGCCGATTTGAACCTACCTTCACAAAGCCTTAGTGGAAGGGATATATGCAACGCCACTAGTTTTAAAGGGAAGATGCCTTTGCAGCCTTACGAAAACGCCATTCCCAAACTTCTCATCGGACTAGACCACTGCCACCTGGGATTGCCTACCAAGCCACTGGTAGTAAATCAAAACGGGCCGTACGCTGCATTCACGGACTTGGGTTGTGTCGTGTTTGGACCTTCGTATAACATGCCACTAAGGAAGCCGTCGTGTCTTCACGTCAGTACATCAGACCATCAAATGCGTGACATGATAGAAGATTATTTCAGCACGGAATCTTTCGGAGTGAGAGCTGCGCCACCCTCTGAGAGTGCAGATGATGTACGAGCTAAACGAATCCTTGAGGCAACAACGGTCAAGATACTTCATCGTTATCAAACCGGCTTATTGTGGAAGAACGACGTCGTCGATTTGCCTGAAAGCTACAACATGGCGCTAAAACGTTTGATAAACATCGAAAAGAGAATCGCCCGGGACCAGGAGTTCGCTAAAGCTTACCGGGACAACATAGATAGCTACGTCAAGAAAAACAATTCGTGTAAGTTGCAGCCTCACGAAGTCCTCGAAAGCAATCCAAGGACATGGTATCTTCCTCATTTTGCGGTAGCGAACCCACACAAACCGGACAAGTTCAGACTTGTGTTTGATG